GTGTAGGGCCACAAACCATAGTGATAGCTAAGACTGTTTTTCTCCCTCTAAGAACCAGTTTTCTCCCACTTGGGAGCAAAACTTACCCTGTCACGAATACATGCAGTAGAACTGACTTTCCTACCTTTCTCTGTTTATATGAGTGTCATGGTATTCTTTGTGTTTGTTTTTTCCTATGAAATAAAGAAACAGCTTAGCAATTTCTACAGACTAAAGCAAAGTAAAAAAGTATATATAAAAAATCCCACCAGTAGAGTACATAGTATGTATGTACATACTATGTATATAGTATGTAATGTGGTTATATATAACCTGGGCAAGTTGAGCTTATCCTAGGAATGAAAGATTGTTTTTTGCACTAGAAAATCAGTCAGTATATTTTATCACATTAACAGATTAGGAAAAAAAATTCAAATGAGCATCTCAGTGTATGAAGACAAAGATAAAATTCAGGATTCATTCAGGTTACACACTCTTAGTAAACTAGAACTAGGAGAAGTTTTGTGATTGGATAAATGGTCTTTCTCCCCCAACCCCTTAAAAAACCCCACAAAATCAACCAACTATAGCATGCTAAGATGAGATGTTAACTTCTTCCCTCCAGGTTGGGGACAAGGCATTGATGCCCACTATCACCATTATTATTATTAAACATAGTACTAGAAATTTAGTCAATGCAGTAAGATAAGAGAAAGAAAGAAAAGGTACAACTGCTAAATGAAATATAACTGTCATTACGCATAGATGATGTAATTGTGTAAATGATTTATCTATAGTTTTTTGGGGTTTTTAAGAAAGTATAAAAAATGTGACTATGAAACAATATTTTAAAAAATCTATTTTTATATGCTCACAAACAAACCTTTAGACAATGAAATTAATAGCAAATGCCATTTATAATAAGATCAAAAACTGGGAAATTACTGAATTAAATCTGACAAAGTGCAAGGTCTTTAGGAGAAACTTGGCGAAAGATAATGGAGAGAATATATCATATGTGAATATATGCCTGAGTATGTGTTGTAACTTGAAAATCTAACTTTAAAATTTTTATGCAAATACAAATCATCTGGAATAATCAAGACATTCTTGCAAAAGAATAAGATGGGATGACATGGCCTACCAGATATTGAGACTTATTACAAAGCCGTAATAACTAAGACATTTGTCACTGTTACAGGGATAAACAAACCAAGGGAACAGAGTAGAGAGCCCGTGTATGTATGGATACTTCATCTCAGGTCACTGAAGAAATGATAGCTTTTTAGTCATTCTGGAACAGTTGAATATTCATATTCGAAAAGTAAATTCAGATTCTTATCTTTCATTGTGCACAAAAAAATTAATTAATAATGCTGTGTGAATTAGTGACCTAATGTGAAAGGCAAAACTTACAAAGCTTTTAAAAGGCTTTACAAGATAATGGAGAATGCCATTTTTATTTTAGCATCAGGAAAGATTTATTAAATAGGATATAAAAATTACTAAAGGAAAAGATTGATACATTGGACTACTTAAAATGAAGACTTGAGTTTATGAAAAGATGCCATCAAGAGGGTGAATAGGATAGTTTCAGAGCAGAAGATATTTGCAATATGCAACTGAAACACAGCAATATCCAAAATGTATGAAGAAGGAGTTAGTAACCTCTACCTTTAGGGTAGGGTAGGGTAGGGGAGAGGGAGAGCCAGCAATGGGGAAGGAATACACAGGAGGCTCTACTTGGTTTCAGATGTTCTAATTCTTGAGAGGATACTGTTACTCTTCTTCTTCTTTTTGAGACAGAGTCTCACTCTTGCTGCCTAGGCTGGAGTGCAGTGGCAGGATCTCGGCTTACTGCAACCTCCACTTCCCAGGTTCACGTGATCCTCCTGCCTCAGCCCCTCTAGTAGCTGGACTTACAGGCATGCACCACCATGCCCTGCTAATTTTTGTATTTTTTTTTTTTTTTTAGTAGAGATGGGGTTTTGCCATGTTGGCCAGGCTAGTCTTGAACTCCTGACCTCAGGTGATGCACCTGCCTTGGCCTCCCAAAGTGCTGGGATTACAGGTATGAGCCACCGTGCCTGGCCCAGTGTTACTGTTCTTTAAACTGGACACATGTTTTTTGAATTTGTCTGTATATGAGCACATTTCTTAACAAAATGGAAGAAATGTAAACAATAAAGAAATACATTTGTTGATTATATTAGTTTGCTAGGCCTGCCTTAAGAAAATAAAACAAACTGGGTGGCTTACACAACAGTAATTCATTTTCTCACATTCTGGAAGCTACGACTCCAAGATCAGGATGTCAGCAGGTTTGTTTTCTCCTGGCGCCTCTGTCTTTGGTTTGCAGATAACCACCTTCTCTCTGTCCTCACATGGTCTTTCCTCTGGGAACATCTATGGTGTCTCTCAGTGTGTCCAAATTTCCTCCTCTTATAAGGACACCAGTCGGATTAGATTAGTGCCCACCCTAAGGGCCTCATTTTATATTAGTCACTGCTTTAAAGGCCTTGTCTCCAACTACAGTCACATTCTAAGGTACAGGGGTTAGGGCTTCAACATATGAATTTTGGGGCACACAATTGAGTCCATAACACTGATTATGTAGTAAAGATCTGGGATAGCAAATGGGTTCCTGTGATTTGGATAAAAATTTTTAAGCCAATTTTTGGATTGAAAAAGTGTTACATCTAAAAAAATCTAAGACAGAAGTAAAGATGTACTCTAGAGAACAGTGTTAAGTGACTCAAAATATGGATTTAGTGCTGATGATGTTAATTATGCATGTGTGAACTTGGAATACAGTTGTTTTTTTGAAAATGTAAAAGTGATAAAAAGCAATTTCTAGATTAAAGTTTTTTTACTACTGTATTTTACATAAATACTTTAAATATAAATGTATAACCAAATGAATAAATGTAATATTATAAGTGGATCTTTTAGTCTCATCTCCATCCTTGACATTTATAAATTGTAGTTGGCCAAAAATTATTTTAAAATCTTTTCACTGGGAGAAGAGTGGATGGATTTTATTTGGTCATAGATGATAATTTTAGTACAGTAAGCTCTGCTATAATGCAATATGTGCGTTCCTAAAAATCACTTCACTGTGTAAAGCCATGCATTAAAACCACAGGGCTTACCACTCCAAAACTTTGTCTGTGACACTTAAAAGGATGGGAACCTAATAAAAACAACAGCACTCTTTTATAAACGTTAAATGATTCAGAAATACATAAATACTATGATAAACATGGCACTTTACCTTGAAGAAGACCTGAAGTTTTCTTATGGAAGTGAGCATCAGGAGGGTTGCAGAATGTGAATTATTGTGAAGTGATGAAAGGAGGGTCTGTGAAATTGGAGGGAAAGTTGTAATACTAGATGCAGGTGGGTGTGGCTCATAGCATGGAAGATAAACTGAGGTGACTGGTAGATGTTTGATGGGTGAGTGTGTTTTGTGTATTCCTACATATTTTAGTTCATCTTGGTACAATTTTTTGTGTTCATCTAGGATTTTTTCACAGATAAAATTATGCATAAGAATGATTGCTGTGGTCAAACTTGTTTAATGTATCAATTATGTTAGAACAAATTTGTGTTTTTAAATAGCATTAATGCAGAATTTAATTTTTTATATCATCCACAGGCCCATCATTCTGGTTTTATATGTTTCATAGGGATTCTATATTGGGTTCTTTTTACTGAAGTTTTAAAATGATTGCCTAATATTTACCTGCTACATAATGTTTTAAGTGTCTTACTGAATTCTGAGTTTTTCCAGGCTAATGAATAAGTAATGTGGATGTGGAACCTGATTTTTGCCTAAGTCTGGTGGTGACTCAATATAATACACACAGAAAAGTATCAGTTCTTTTGTTTCAAGCAAGCATACTATCTCTGGTGGCCTTCCTATTTTTGAAGTTGCTATTAGGATACCTTAATCCCTAACATGAATCAGTATAAAAGAAAGCATGTGGGTGGTTGTGTTTGGGTGTCCTTCCCATCCACTTGGTGCTTTTATTTTCTGTGGTTGTTTTATTCCACAGCTTAGCAACAGCAGATTTCCAGGAGAAGTCTTTAACTCTCTCTCCTTCCTCTGGTCTGGTTGGTTGGTAACAGTGAGGCTAAATGAAAGGCTTCTTGTTTTTCTGTCTTCCTACCACAGTATCTTTGGTTTACTTTTAGAACACTCATTTTCAATCTCTGAGCCAGAAGGCCTGCCTTTAAATCGCAGCATTTCAATTCCTCCCTCCTATCTAGGCATTCCTTTGTGTTTCTGCCGTACTCTGCATGCATCCCTGTTATAGAATATATCACATTGTTTTGGAATTTTCCAAAGTTGGGCTCTGTTTCTAAATAAACTGTACTTCTTGAGGGCATGGACCATATTTTTATCATTTATACATTTCTATTACATAACACAGTGCTTGGCAATGGTGGTTGGGTGACTGGATGGAAGAGTGAATGAAGTAGGCTTGAAGAGAGCTGTTCTTAAATGATCCTATTATATATGATTTCCCTTCATTTTGACCGTGTTAATGATTTCTAGATATCTTGGTCACTTGAACTTTAATATGAATTATGCTGTGTATTCAAACTTTTTAGCAGAAAAATAATAAAATTCCTTTTGTAAACCAAAGATTGTATAACCATCTGTGTTTTGTTTTGTTTTGTTTTGGGTTTCTTTTTCTTTTCTTTCTTTTTTGTTTTTTGCCCAAAATAGATTCAAAAAACAAGGCTAACTGGCACCTAAGATTGAGGAGTTTTGATGCAGTAGAGTAGTAAACTCCTATATTTTCCAGCTTGCTATTATTGTAAATTAAAATACCTATTTTTGAAATTTTTAAATATTTATACATTGATTTAAATAGAACAAGTGTAAAAGAGGGAGAGGAGTTCTATTAAGATAATAAGGAAGATGTGTTATGGCTCAATTCTTGATTATTATTGCAACTGTAAGCAATATAAGCAACTCTGAATTGTTTTTAAGACTTTCTTTTTCTTTATAGGACCTCTTTGTTGTTAGACACGAATTGGCCATAATGAGACTAGCTGCCTTTATGGGCATTACTATGTTAGTCGGAATAACTGGACTCTTTTACACTCAACTAATTGGCATCATCACAGTAAGTATATTTTTAATGTAAAGTAACATTTATGAATATATTACCTAATTATGAATGTAATTCTAAAAAGTTATAGAAAGTTTAGAAATTAAAGGAGAAAATTAACAATGCTTTTTAGTACTTTCATATGCCTATGTAATTTTAAAGTAGTTATAATCAAGTACAAAGTACATACAATTCTGTATCCTGTTTTTGAAAGCTAACAAATATAGTGTTTTTATGTGAGCATAGACATCATGTTTGTAGTTTTTTATTGATACACAGTATCTTACATATTTATGGGGTACATATGAGTATTTGTTACATGCATGTAATGTATAATGATCAAATCAGAGTAATTGGGGTCTCCATCAACTTGAGTATTTATCATTTCTATATGTTAGGAACATTTCAAGTCCTCTCTGCTAGTTACTTTAAAATATACATTGTTGCTGACTGTAGTCACCCTCCTGTGCTACTGAGCATTATAACTTATTTCTTCTAACCGTATGTTTATAACCATTAACCACACTCTCTTCATTCCCTGCTCCACCCACGCACCCTTTCCAGCCTGTTGAATCTCTCATTCAATTCTTGACCTCCATGAGATCAAATCCTTTGGCTACCACATATGAGTGAGAAAATATGGTGTTTGTCTTTCTGTGCCTGGTTTGTTTCACTTAACACAATGACCTCCAGTTCCATCCAGGTTGCTGCAACAGAATTTCATTCTTTTTATGGCTGATTAGTATTATTCCACTGTGTATATATACCAAATTTTTAAAATTCAGTCATCTGTTGATAGACACATAAGTTGATTTCGTATCCTTGCTCTCGTGAATAGTGCTGTGATAAACATGCAAGTGCAGGTATCCCTTTGATATACTGATGTTTTTTCCTTTGGCTGAATACCCAATAATGGATTGCTGGATCTTATGGTAGTTCTATTTTTAGTTTTTTTTGAGAATTCTCAGTATTATTTTCCTTAGTGATTATACTAATTTACACTCCCACCAACAGTGTACAAGAGTTCCCTTTTCTCTGCATGTTTGCCAGCATCTGTTACTTTTTGTCCTTTCAATAAAGGCCATTCTAACTTAGGTAAGATGATACCTTATTGTGGTTTTGACTTGCATTTCCCTGTTGATTAATGATAGTGAGTACTTTTCATATGCCTGTTGGCTATTTGTATATCTTCTTTTGAGATACGTGTCTTCGTGTCCTTTCCCCACTTTTTAACGGTACCGTTTTTTATTGTTGAGTTGAGTTCCTGGTATATTCTGGATACTGTCCCTTGTCAAGCAGATAGTTCAAGTGTTTTCTGTCATTCTACAGGTTGTTTCTTCACTCTGTTGATTGTTTACTCTACAGCTTTTTAATTTAATAGAGTCCCATTTGTCTGTATTTGTTGTCTGCACTTTTTGAGATCTTAGCCATAAAATTTTCATCTAGACCAATGTCCCGAAATATTTTTCCTAGGTTTTATTCTGGTAGTTTCACAGTTGTAGGTTTGATGTTTAAGTCTTTAATACATCTTGAGTTGGTTTCTGTATATGGTGAGAGGTGGGGTCCAGTTTCATTCTTCATTCTTAGGCATATGGAGATCCAATTTTCCCAGCACTTCCCATTTATTCAAAAGATTGTTCTTTTCTCAATGTATATTCTTGATGCCTTTGTCAAAAATCAGCTGACTGTAAATATGTGAATTTATTTCTGGATTCTCTATTCTGTTCCCTTGGTCTATGTGTCTATGTATCTGCTTTTACACCAATACTATGCTGTTTTGGTTACTATAGCCTGATAATATATTTTGAAGTCAGGTAATGTGATGCCTCCAGCACTGTCCTTTTTGCTTAGGGTTACTTTGACTATTCGGGCCCTTTTTTGACTTCATACAAAGTTTAGGATTATTTCTCTAATTATGTGCAAAATGATGTTGGTATTTTGATAGTGATTACATCAAATCTGTAGATTGCTTTGGGCAGTATGGACATTTAACAGTAATAATTCTTCTGATCCATCATCATGGGATAGCTTTCCTTTGCCTCCTCCTTTGATTTCTTTCTTTAGTTCTTTGCAGTTTTCCTTATAGAGCTCTTTCACCTCCTTGGTTAAATTTCTTACAGCGTTGTTGTTGGAGCTATTGTAAATGAGATTGTTTTTTATTTCTTTCTCAGCTAGTTCATTATTGGTGTATAGAAACACTACTGATTTACTGATTCTTGTATGCTGATTTTGTATCCTGTGACTTTACTGAATTTATTTATCAGATTGAAGAGTTTTTTGGTAGAGCCTTTAGGTTTTTCTTGATATAAGATAATATCATCAACACAAAAGGCCATAGATGGCCTTTATTATGTTGTAGTATGTTTCTTCTGTGCTTAGTTTGTTGAGAGTTCCAGTTCCTTCCTCTTCAATTCTTTGAAATAGTTTGAGGAGAATTGGTGTTAGTTCTACTTAATTTAACATTTGGTAGAATTTGTGAAGTTGTCTGGGTCCTGGACTTTTCTTTGTTGGGAGACTTTATTACTACTTTGATATTATTACTTTTTATTGGTTTGTTCAAATTTTCTATTTCTACCCAATTCAATCTCGGTAGGTTTTATGTGTCTAGGAATTTATCATTTACTCTAGGTTTTTCAGTTTGTTGGTATATATTTGTTCTTAATAATCTTTGATAATCTTTGTATTTCAGTGGTATCAGCTGTAATGTCTCCTTTTTCATTTCTGATTTTATTTACTTGGATCTTCTCTCTTCTTAGTTAGTCTTGAAAGTGATTTATTCACTTGTTTATCTTTTCAAAATACCAACTTTTTGTCTTGTTGCCTCTTTGCTTATTTTTTTAGTCTCTTTCTTTTACATCTGATCTGGTCTTCATTATTTCTTTCCTTCTACTAATTTTGGGTTTCGTTCGTTCTTGCTTTTCTGGTTCCTTGAGGTGCATCATTAGACTGTGTTTACTTGAAATCTTTCTACTGTTTTGATATAGGCATTTATTACTGTAAACTTCCCTCCTAGTACTGCTTTTGTTTTAGTCCATAGGTTTTGATATGTTTCATTTTCATTTTTATTTGTTTCAAGAAAGTGATTTCCTACTTAGTTTCTTTCTTGGCCCAGTGGTTGTTGCTTAAATTCCATGCATTTGTATAGTTTCCGAAGTTCCTCTAGTTATTGATTTTTAGTTTTATTCCACTGTGGTCTGAGAAGATACTTGATACAATTTAGATTTTTTTCATGTTTCTTGAGACTTGTTTTGTGTCCTAACCTATGGTCTATCTTGGAAATGTTCCATTTGCTGATGAAAACAATGTGTATTCTGTAGCTGTTGGATGAAATGTTTTGTAAATATCTGTTAGGTCCAGTTGGTCTAGAGAGCAGTTTAAATCCGATGTTTCTTTGTTAACGATTTTACTAGATCTGTCTCATGCTGAGAATCCTGTGTCCAAGTCCTCAACTATTATTGTATTAGAGTCTTATCTTTCCCTCTAAATCTAATACTTGGTTTATATATCTGGGTGCTCTGGTGTTGGGTGCATATGTATTTAGAGTTGTTATATCTTCTTGCTGAATTGATCTCACTATCATATAATGGCCTGCTTTGTAACTTTTTACTATTTTTAACTTAAAGTCTGTATATCTGATATAAGTATAGCTAGCTATTCCAGCTTACTTTTGGTTTCCGTGTGCTTGAAATATCTTTTTCTGTCTTTTTACTTTCAGTCTATATGTGTCTTTATAGGTGAGATGAGTGTGCTGTAGGCAGCATATCATTGTGTCATGTTTGTTTGTTTAGTCCATTCAGAAAGTCTATATGTCTTAAATGTGGAGTTTAATCCATTTACGTTAAAGACTATTATTGATATGTGAGGGCTTACTCCTGTCATTTTATTAATTGATTTCTGATGTTTCGTATATTCTTTGTACCTTTCTTTCTCTTTTATTGTTTATCATTGTGGTTTGGTGGTTTTCTGTAATGGTAACATTAGAGTTCTTCCTCTTCCTTATTTGTGTGTTTGCTCTACCAGTGGGTTTTAAATTAATTTTTTATTAAAAAAAATTGAGACAGAGTCTTGCTCTGTTGCCTAGGCTAGAGTGCAGTGTTGTGATCTCGGCTCACTGCAACTTGTACCTCCCGGGTTCAAGCAATTCTTGTGCCTCAACCTCCCAAGAGTGAGTTTTATACTTTCATGTGTTTTTATGATGGTAGCTGTCATCCTTTTGTTTCCAAGTGTAGGACTCTCTTAAGCATTTCTTATAGGACCAGTCTAGTGGTGATAAAGTCCCTCAGCTTTTGCTTGTTATCTCCTGCCTTTTTCCTTTATTTATGAAGGATAATTTTGCTGGAAATAGTATTTTTGTCTGAAAGTGTTTTTCTTTCTGCACTTTGAATGTATTATCCCATTTTCTCCTGGCCTATAAAGTTTCTGTGGAGAAATCCACTGTTAGTCTGATGGAGATTCCCTTGTATGGGACTTGATGCTTTTTTCTTGCTGTTTTTACAATTCTCTTTGTCTTTGACTTTTGATAGTTTGATTATGGTGTGCCAGAGAAGATCTTTTTACATTGTATCTGTTTGGGGATCCCTGAGCTTCCTGTACTTAGGTGTCTAGATCACTTGCCAGACTTGAGAAGTTTTCAACTGTTATATCCTTAAGTAGGTTTTCTAGGATTTTGTTTTCTCTTTGTCTTCTGGGAGATTACACATTAAAGTATTTGGTCACTTTATGGTGTTCAATCTGTCACATAGGTTTTGTTCATTTTTTAAATGCTTTTTTCTTTATTTTTGTCAGACTGGGTTATTTGAAAATAACCTGTCTTCAAGTAATGAAATTCTTCCTTGTCCTTGATCTAGTCTGTTATTGAAACTTTGAAATACATTTTGTATTTCATTTAGTGAATTCTTCAGTTTGTTTGGTTCTTTTTTATTTGTATTTGTTTAGTAAATTCCTCATTCAGATCTGGAATTATTTTTCTAATTGCTTCATATTTGCTGTATTCTCTTTATCTCAATTAGCTTCTT